CCCTTTTGTCAGTCAAAGTTGGATTCCTTAGCAACAAAATTAAGAAATAACACCGATAATGACCATGCATCAGAACCCTAGTCTTGAGCTCTTCAAACTAGCTCTTCAAACAACGAATAGAAGATTAGGAATTACATAGATGAAGGCTAACTAACTCATTTTTTCCTTGTTTCAAGATCATCCTCGGTGGCCAAAGCCAAGTTTTGTCACAATCAACAAGGCATAAAAAGTAACAAGGACTAAGATGTGTTCCTTGGATTACTGAAAAATCGTGTTCTCCTAGTTTGAAGTAGTCAGGACTAGGAATCGGTGGTAGATTTTAAATCCCGTAACGTACCACGAAAAGGTGATCTACCTACGTTACGGGGCAACGGGATTCACCACCTAGGTCTTCAAACACTCGAGGAACGAAAGACTTCCACGCTGGAAAGGTCTGCGATCAAACCACCAGATCATTCGTGATTTGGCAACCTAGTTCAAATAGTTAGGTAAGTTCCTGTGCTAAAGTAGGTAGGTTATCAAATTTTTAAATTCAAACGAAAACAAGCCCTGTAAATTGGGGCTAAACGCAATCATCACATTAGAATAACTCATTAACTATAACAAAGATGAAGAGCCAAAGGCTAACCAATTGAAATGTAAAACCAAATGTTGAAATTTAAAAAACCAGCAAATAGCAGGCTTGCTGAAACTTCTCAAACTCACTGGAGGTTTTAAAACACTCATGTCCTGCGAGTTTAGCCAGCCCTCACCTCGAGTGAGTGGCGGCAGGAATATGGAAGAAGTAAACAAAAACTCCTCGAGAGAGAGGGAGAGTGAACTTCAGCGAGAGGATGATTTGACGTGAGGGGCGCTTTTCGAGACTCCGGATGACTTTTTTGTTCGACGCAAGAAGCTCAGAGTTCACCCAGAGTGAGAGTAAGAGCGTGTGATAGAAAACATGAACATGAATGGCTGCAAACCTCACTCTCATTTTATCCCCCTTCGCTTACAAGCTCTGAAGCTCAGTGGAAGGATTTGGCAGTAGGCATTCTACTCCTCAGAAAAATGCTATGCTCGGCTCATTTCAAACTCGCGAGTGACGCTCCATCAAGCCTGCCAAATAGACGTAAATTTTACTACTACTTGCCTTCTACCGCTAGGTGCGCTAGTGTTCACAAACATAATATGGAGCCACTTTTGGGTCCTGTTCTGTGGTATGAATGATACTGGCTCAGAAAGCTCTCAATTAACAATTGTACATATGGAAGTGCTCACAGAACTCTTAGTTGAGGCCCAGTGTTGAGATGTAATTTATCTGTTCATCATCATTGGCACAATAGCGACACAGCAAAAAAAAAAAAAAAATTATATCACATCAAAGTGGATGCACTTCAATCGTGTCAAAAACATGGTGTAATCACAGACAAACAGGCATAACACATTGTATATTTCTAACTGTAAAACATCGTCGCTAAAACATTACCGCCATCTGTTGAGTACACTGTGGTGGGTAGTACGCTGAACAGATGGCGGTAGTGTTCAAACGTTAAACGCAAGGGCATTGACTATGCGCGCCACAGGTGGCGGTACTACCAACTATGATACCTTTAAATTGACCGTTAAATGCTTGTTCGATGAACAACTTGCGATTGTTATGTCTGTTTGTCTGTGGTGTAATATTACCTGCCAAAAAGGTCAAATACAGTGCAAGAACTGACATTACGCTGCTTTTACTGCATTTGTTTATTTTTGTGGCCATAAAAATTATATGAGATTTTCGACATGATTGAAGTGCATCCTCTTGGATGTAATATTAAAATTAATTTTTTGCTGTACACACAGCCTGTTTAGAAATACATAATTCTATTCTTAAAATCAAGTACCTTATTCACGTAATTAAATCAAAATCTATCCAGAGGATTGATATATCCGTATGCTATGCCGTGCCGCAAAATAGGAAAATGTTGTGGAGTTGGCGGATGGGAGCGTGGATATTGATGTTCTGAAGCACACTACGGCCATCAATATCCCAAGTAATAATTTTGGTTTTATGAGGGTTCTGTAGACCATGATTTAGACTTGTAGAATGCTATAAAACCGCGATAAAACCTGCAATATTACTTGGGTATGGTTACTCAGCACATCATAAACGGATATCCTCTGCAGGAAACTACGCCGGCTCGACAAATATTGAAGTCCATTCATCGCGTATCTTATCGTATTGTATTTTCGGGATTGGTACACGGAAGCCGCCATAATGCAGCTTTACCCAAACATGAGAAAATAGCTTATTAATACCAATTTCAGGTATGAAAATAGCATAACTGGCAGCCTAAATATGGTATTGACGAGCCTGACATAACCCGAGCAGGAACCGATAGCTAATCTATAACAAATGAATATCTTAATGTGGTATGATACCAGATTTTGGTATGATTGAGGTTATGATATTATTCAGTTATTGAAATATGTTGTAAAATATCAAATGAATACCAAAATAACAAAATGTGAAAGATCACAGTTTTTAGACAATAACACCTGAAAGAGTTATTGAATTGGTATTAGAAGACCATTAAAATAATAAACTATGGTATTCTGGCATCTAAAAAAGCATCTGTTATCAATTTGTTATTGTAATAACTATATTATTTATTAGTTTGGTATTCGTAGAACATTTTTGAGGTATTATTTTTGGTGTTTTACCTCTTATGTCAGCCTCACTAATACCATATTTAGGTTGCCAGTTATGGTATTTTCATACCTGAATATAAGTTATTTTTTCCTGCTTGAGAAGAGACCAGAAATAATACATAAAAAATGTTCTACGAATAACGAACTAATTCTAATAATTTGATTTATAAAAGATCTTCTAATTCCAATTTTTCAACTCTTTAAAGTGTTGTTGTCTAAAAACTGACAGAAAATGTTTTGTTATTTTGGTATTTATTTTATATTTTACAAAACATTTCAATACCTAAATAATACCACAAGCATATATAAGTATATAGGTTAGATATCGGTTCTTTCTCGGGTACCCGAATAAATAATACCAAATTATGATAATGCAATACCAAAACAATACCACACAGTTATTCTTTTGGTATTCAAATATCAATTGTTGTTATTACAAAGTATTTTGCATGCAATTTTTTGGTATAATTTTTTGGTATTTTACCTCTTATGTCAGTCTGATCAACACCAAATTTTGGTATCAGGTCAGAATTAGGTATTCATTATTTATTTTCTCCTGCTCGGGTAACGAAGCGTTTTTGTATTCTCTCGATGCGTGATACATGCACAGCATGATACGGAGTCCAAATTTGCACTCCATATTCAAACACGCTACGAACCAGAGAACAGTAAGGGAGAACAGCCTATAATGCACCCCTGGGGCAAAATGCCCACTTATAGACAAAACAACGATAATCTTTCCTCAGATGCATTTTCCGAGTAACGGATTGTGTTTCTTTTCAACTGGAGGTATCACAAATAATTTCTGAAAATGAAATCTTATATTGACCAACTAATTTCTTAAAAAAAATTGCACAGTTGATAAAATCATCGACTACAAATTAAGCTTGTATCAGTATATATCGCAAAAGAATGGAACGAATTCACTTTTCGTATATTTTTTAGATGTTTTACTTTATGAATAACAGTTTAACACTCTATTGAGACCTTATTTCTGATGTAACATAAAGCAATAACTATTTGAAATACCTCATGCCGTTGAATTCTCTACTTGCAGGTTATGGTGTGTCGCTATCAGGCGGTGCATTTTACCCCAATGTTTTGGTGCGTTTTGGCCATTGTTGTCGTGCGTCTTGCCCCAATGTTGTAGTGCATATTGCATCATGATTCAGGCGTTTTGCCCCGCTATCTAGTTTGGAACCGATTGAAAAAATGTTTTGTATTTCGAAATCACTCAATCATCGTAGAAAACATTGTAATTAACCATACTCAATTACTTTTTCCTTGATTTTAGCTTCCATAAGCTAGCAGCTGACGATTTATCTTTAACCGTGCATTTTGCAACATCCTACCCTACAACGATTTTATGGCGTGCACATCATCGAATTGTGCTGGATTGCGTCCAAGTATAAAATTTGCCTTTGCAATTGTCATGACTCTAAGATAAACCAAAGAACTTTATCAAGCAACGAATAATAGTAATAAAGCCAAAGAAGAAGATATGGACTAAAATCAAAAGTATTGGTAGAACAAACATTGTTCGGTACAAAAAGAAACGCTATCTATTGTAAGAAGAAAGTATGAATTCCAGCGACAATAGTATTGCCATTGTTTTTCAGTGAATGTATTATCAACAATCAAATGCCTCGAAGAATATAACCACTAAACTAATCATAAAGAATTCCCATATAAAGTCACAAGCAAGATTTCCGTTGACAACACACTCAGCCATTGCAGGACCCTCACAACGCCCCTTCAACGCATATATTCATTCAAGGAGCTTGTACTAAAATAGAAACTCATTGAATTTAAAACCAGTCACCAAGATACTCAGCGGCAAAAACACATTGTGTCGCTTTCGAAACAAGTTTGACAGAAAGATAAAAAGCCAAGTTGCAACAGCTAACAACAGCCTGTCCGTGGTTGGTCCGTTCACGGCCGAGAACCACAATCCCTAAATGGACAGTCAGTCGGCGACAGGCTCTCCCAGCTCCAACTCTGACACTGACCAACTCGCGCAACGTACCTACGTACGCTCGTCCGGTCGGTACGAGGTGCCGGTATTGAACAAATATTTGCTTGATCGACCGCGCGGCCTCATTCATTTCTTTGTTAAGCCAATACATTAACGGGTTCTGCTGTTGTTACTTTTTGTTGTTCGAAAATATTATGTACGAACAAAATGTTTTCGGCCCGGATATACCGATGAAATGAATCAGTGTTGGAGAACAACTACAAATATGCCCATCGAATACGACAAAACCGAGTCAGTGCGTGGGTGATCCAGTCCAGGTGAGGTAAATATTACGACCTTCAGATCCTCTTACCTTTTGCATAGCAGACGGAGGCGCTACAAAGTCCGACCAATATGGTCAGGCTGACGTGAACGAGCTTCATCTCGAGTGCAGTTCTCCTTCAGTAGCGGTCTGGGGTTTTTTTCCTCGCTTCTACCTTTCGATGAGGTGAGCTCTCCAGTTATAGCCACTTCTCGCCAGATGCTCTCCAATCCGTATTTTTGCTGGATAAGATAAACAACGAAAACTGTAAACAACCACCAATTGATGTAATTTCTTCACGTTTTAGGTTATGTAACTGACTATGAATAGATCTCTTCGTGATCCAATTCGAGTAGTACTTATCGTTGCACTAAAACTCTTTTCCGACTCTATCCCGTTCGAGTTTAATTCGAACAGCCACTAATTTCCCATAACTTTTTACTGCTTCATCATGAATCTCTCACTGGCACTGGCACCATAAATCAAGGTAATACCCGATACAATTTGCAATCACACTGGTCATATGACGCTGTTGAAGTGACGGCGACCTACAGAACGTGACAAGACAATTTTGTCAATCTGGCTAATAACGATACACGCACCCTTGAACACACTTTATGATTTATGGTAGCGCAAATGATTTTTTTTTCCGGCAATCAAAGATAAAAAATAGTACAGGAGCAACAATCACACCGAACTAAGTTGAACGCGCGAAAAAGTGAAAAACAAGTCAATGGAAAATGAGAGAAAAAATAGTTTTCGAATTAAACTTTCTAATTACGTGCAACTGGGAAGAAAGAGCAATCTTAAAAAAAAAAAGAACAGATAATAGGAGAACCCACAAACAGATATTGTACGCCTTGGCGATGACGGCTTCTCGGGCGTCGAGTGAGGTCGAGGTTGATATGGCTCTACGAGCTCTTCGAGAGAGTGGTGGGGGATTTCGCGCACGGCACGACGAGGTTCTCAGCGCTTAAACGCGAAGGCCGAGACTTAAGATTGAGACGAACGTGGTAGAGACGCACAATCGATCCCGGGTGCACCTTTCTACGGCTACGACTCAGCACAGACTGGTGATAGGTGAGCTCTCGATTGAGCCTGAGACCTGCACACGGTCAGCGGAATCGAGCGCGCGCGAGTGCCTATTCGCCACCGCGTCGCCGCGCCGGTTGACGGAGAGCGCTGAGAAGCGTTTTTTTTTTTGCTGTAATCGGCAAAGTTGTTTTACGTTTTCGCTATCTGTGGATGTCTTAAAGGTAACGACTGACTGGTATCAGAGCTCCCCGAAGGTGAGTATTGAGCTGTAGTTGGTGGAGCAGCAGACAGCCGGTGGGGTTGATGCATGAGAAGAAAATAATGAGCGGCAAATACTGTGTAGGGGATGCAGAGTGCATACATTAAGCTTAAATATGTTCGAGTGGTGACCGGTTTCATCTCAATTAAACACACAAAAAAAACTTACTAACTAGAGAATGACGGAATACAATTAAAATTTTGGTTCGTCGCTGAAGTTTTCTAGTAGGCGCATTGAAATCTCTTGAATAATCCGAATTAATTTGAGATACAAACACCTGTTGTTTGAGCAACAGGACAAACAATTTTATCAATTTTCCTTCTGTGTTGTGTAATGAATAGGGGACGACGGGGGAATACAACCATCCATTGGATTATGGAAACAATCGACTCTTTAAAAGATCAATTATTTGTTTTTTTTTATTCATCGTTTATTGGAATTTTTTTTTTTTTTTTTTTAATTACTTTATTTGTACAGGCTCATTCGAATAAACTTTACAGAGCCAAGTTATCATTTTCTTTATACATTATAAATGTCTTAAATCTAAAATTAAAGGATTGGAACCGATTACTCGCGGTCTTCTCGAGGTTAGTGGATGACAATTGTTTGGATCGGGAGAGGGAAAAGGAGATTTGGAATATGATTTATTATTCAAAAATTTCACTATTTCTAAAACAAATACTTAATCCTATCGACGTTATATCAACTCTGTAATTATACAATTATTACAGAAACAAATCTACAAAAAAAAAATACACACACACATACAAAACACAAACTAAACACAAGGTTAATCAAACTTACAATCTATGGTTAATATTCTTCAAGAAAACATATATGAGTTGCATAAACTCCAGATCGCGTCTAGCCAAAATATCCCGAACTGGAACATTAGGTTGTCTACCTCGAGCCCGAAGGGAATCGCACAGCTCAGATCTGACTCCACGATGCTCAGCACAAGACCAAAGGATGTGATCGGCGTCTTGGTAACCTTGTCCACATTCACAGAGATTGCTGTCTCCCAGCCCAACACGATACAAGTGAGCGTTTAACGAATAGTGATTGGACATGAGGCGAGACATCATACGAATGAAGTCTCGACCCACATCCAACCCCTTGAACCAAGGACACTTCGACACCTTAGGGATGATTGAATATAACCACCGTCCCAAACTCCCTTCACTCCATTTATTTTGCCAGCTGGCGAGGGACTGTTGACGATAAATGAAGAAAAATTCGTCGTAGGCGATTTGTCGATCGTAAATATCGCCTTCCATAGCGCCCACCTTTGCAAGCGAGTCCGCCTTCTCATTGCCCGGAATCGAGCAATGAGATGGGACCCATGCAAAGGTGATGACAAAAGATCTTAAAGATAAAGCACTCAGAAGCTCTCGTATTTTCATGAGAAAATACGAGGAGTGCTTTACCGGCCTCATGGATCGAATAGCCTCGACAGAACTGAGACTATCCGTAAAAATAAAATAATGATCTGGTGCAAGTGAGGCGATCGTTTCTATCGTATAATGTATTGCCGCCAGTTCAGCAACATATACGGAACAAGGAGCATGAAGCATTCGAGAGGCGCTATGAAATTCGTTATAAATACCAAAACCAGCGGACGCCTCTATTAGTGATCCATCTGTGAAGAACGATCTTGCGGAATCAACTTGGCCAAACTTTGCAGCGAAAATTGACGGAGCAATCATGGAACGATGATGCTCTGGGATTCCGCGAATCTCTTGCGTCATTGATAAATCAAAATGAACAGAACTGTCGAAGTCGGAGAAGCAAACACGATAGGGATTATGCTGCGAAGGGCTGACATCCTGTGTTATGTACACGTAGTACAATGACATAAAACGAGTTTGAGGGTTTAGCTCAAGAAGCTTCTCAAAGTTTGCAATCACCAGTGGGTTCATAATTTCACAACGGGTGAGGAGCCTGAGGGATAATTCCGAAAACCGATCAGAGAGTGGCAACATGCCCGCTAACACTTCGAGACTCATCGTATGAGTCGAGTGCATGCATCCTAACGCGATACGAAGACAGCGATACTGGATCCGTTCCAGTTTGATGATGTGCGTTTTAGCCGCCGACTGGAAGCAAAAACTACCGTACTCTAAAACCGATAAAATCGTTGTCCGGTACAACGTTAGAAGATCTTGCGGATGGGCTCCCCACCACGTTCCGGTAATTGTTCGGAGAAAATTGATCCTTTGTTGGCATTTCCGCTTCAGATACTCAATGTGGGATCTCCAGGTGCATTTTGAATCGAACCAGACCCCAAGATATTTGAAGGACATAGAATGAGTGATCGGTTTACCCAAAAGTTGAAGCTTTGGTTGTGCTGGGCTATGCTTCCTAGAAAAAACGACCAACTCAGTTTTCTCCGTGGAGAATTCGATACCTAGCTGGATAGCCCAAGTAGACAAATTGTCTAAGGTATCCTGTAAGGGTCCTTGCAGGTCGGCCTCTCTGGGTCCTGTCATAGACACTACTCCGTCATCTGCAAGTTGTCTCAACGTGCAGTTGTCCCTTAGACAATTGTCAATTTCTCTGACGTAGAAATTATACAGAAGGGGGCTTAAACATGAGCCCTGGGGGAGACCCATGTAGCTAAATCGTGAAGCTGTAGAGTTTCCATGAGAAAAGCTCATATGTTTCTCTGACAGCAAATTGTACAAAAAGTTATTAATTAATGGAGAAAGGCCACAAGCGTGGAGTTTGTCTGAAAGGACTTCAACCGATACTGAATCAAAAGCCCCCTTAATATCCAAGAAGACAGAAGCCATTTGCTCTTTATTAGCAAAAGCCAACTGAATTTCAGTGGAAAGCAACGCGAGACAGTCGTTCGTTCCCTTGCCCCTACGGAAACCAAATTGAGTATCTGAGAGTAGGTGGTTCAACTCAACCCATTTGTCCAGGCGAAAAAGGATCATTTTCTCCAACAATTTTCGAATACACGATAGCATCGCAATGGGACGATACGAGTTGTGATCTGACGCGGGTTTTCCAGGCTTTTTAATGGCTATAACTCTCACCCGCCTCCAATCATCCGGAACAATATTAAGCTCCAGGAACTGACCAAACAAGTTCAACATGCGCCTCTTAGCGACGTCTGGAAGGTTCTTCAACAAGTTGAACTTGATTCTATCAGCCCCCGGAGCCGAATTGCCACACGAAAGGAGCGCAAGTGAGAGCTCCAGCATTGAAAAAGGCTGGCTGATCTCGTCTACCGAATTCGTCGTTTCGCGAGGAATCATCTGTGCCGGCACAGAATCAGGACATACTTTTCGCGCGAACTTGAGAATCCAACTATCGGAGTACTCCTCGCTCTCGTTGTTTGAAGACCGGTTACGCATCCTTCGCGCCGCATTCCAAAGCGTATTCATCGACGTTTCGCGCGATAATCCGTCCACGAATTGCCGCCAGTATCCGCGTTTCTTGGCTTTGATGAGGCTCTTGAGTTCGCGTTCAAGAGCCGAGTACGCTTCGAAATGTACGGGTGTTCCACGTTTCCGGAAAAGCTTAAACGCGTCGGACTTTTTACGATAAACCTCAGTGCATTGCTGGTCCCACCAAGGGGAAGGAGGTTTCCTACGGAAAGACGTTCCTGGAACCGGCCGAGTTTGAGCTTGAAGCGCGCTGTCCAAGATCAGATTGGAGAGGAAGTTATATTCCTCCAACGGTGGAAGCCCTTCTACCGACGTTAGGGCATCTTCTATCATATTCTTGAACTTTGTCCAATCGATATTACGGGTAAGATCGTACGCGACGTTAACGGGTTCCGACGGATTGAACCCACTGGCAACTGAAACTTTGATCGGCAAGTGATCACTACCGTGGGGATCTTGGATCACATTCCACGTGCAATCCAACGATAATGAGTTAGAGCAAAGTGTGAGGTCTAATCTACTTCCATTCGAGGATGGGCCAGCCAAACGTGTTACTTCTCCATTGTTAAGAATTGTCATATTAAAGCTGTCGCAGAGGTCATATATCAAAGTGGAACGGTTGTCATCATGCAGTTCCCCCCAGCCTGTACCGTGGGAATTGAAATCTCCCATAATCAACCGTGGAGCAGGAAGTACCGAACAGATATCTGAAAGTTGTTTGCGATTAACAACGGCTCTAGGAGGAATATAAACAGAAGCAATACAAAGGCTCTTACCTTTAATAATAGCCTGACATGCAACAACTTCAATACCTGGAAATTGTGGAAGATTCACTCTATAGAAGGAATGGCACTTTTTGATCCCCAAAAGTACCCCTCCTCCACGCGAATCCTCACGATCCAGTCGAATAATGTTAAAATCATAAAAAGGAAGATCGATATCTGAAGAGAGCCAAGTTTCACAAACAGCAAATGCATCACAATCATTATTGTGAATTAAAAACTTAAAAGAATCTAATTTAGGAATGAGACTTCGACAATTCCACTGTAGAACAGTGATCAAATCCCCGACCTCGTTTGGAAAATTATCCATCGAAGGAAATGATTGCTGCAATGAGGGGCCACTTCAATGTCAATTGCTTCAAGAGGGTCTTCACAGAAGGAAGCATTGCCAGAACAATGCTTTTGAGAGGATCAGAAATATTGAGGTACTTGAGAATATCGTCCACAATTTTATCAAATGAGAACAACCCGGATGAAGAAGGGGCTTCTGTTCTTAAAAATGGGCCATCAGGGGTTTTTGATGTCCCCGGGAGAGATGGAAAGTTCTGGTTATAGTCAGTTCTGCGGAAACCAGGAGGAGTTGAAACTTCCTTTTTTCCATCACTCCTTGAT